AAATTTATTTATAAATTTATATTTTTAAACACTTTAATAATTATAAATTAATAAAATAAAATAAATTAAATATATCTATAATATTTTAAGAGAAAAAGGAAAATCAAGACCTTATGATATTAAAAATATCATGATATTCAATAACAATTATTAAATGTGTAAAATATAATGTAACTCTTAATTTTATCAAATTTTTTATTTAATTATTATTAAATATTTTAATATTTTTAATAGTAAAACATTTGTTTTTTCCTTATTCCATATTTTAATGCTCATATTAATTTTTTTGTGTGAACGCAGCATCGCCCGTTCCCACCCGATTTTTAACAACCTAGCTCTCCTTTTCATGACTATGACTTCATTTTATCCACCTCCCTCTGCGTGGCGGTGAAAACAAAGGGCTCCAAACTAGAAGCCAACACGCCACCCACGTCGTTGCTGGATTGTACTCCTGATGTGTTGCCATGAAGCTCAAGCACCCAAGCCCAGGCTCCCAGCTAACATAGAATAAAAAACTATACTCATTTATGTTGGGGCTTTTATCATGATTATAAAACTATTAACAAGTCTAACAAGTATTTTTGCAAATGTACAAAATATGCTAGAAGGTTAAGAATTTGTTTATTAGTGCTTTGCATAAAGTTTTTTTACAAAATATTTTTTAAATAAATTTTTAATTTTTAGTTAATCATAATTACTTTTTATATATTTTTAATTAATATTTTATATATTTTTAAAATAATAAAAAATATTAAAATTTATAACTGCACCACAACGCAAGACAAACAAATTAATTTCTGTAAGTATTGGCTCAAAAATTATTTGACTAATTATCAAAAAGGAGTTTCCCTTATTAACCCTAGGACAAGAAACCTCCATATTTTTTACCTCAACACAATTCTTTTTTGGTATATCTTAGAATAAATTGCTTGGTATAATAAAGATCTTAACACATATTAATGCAAATAAAAAATTTTAAATTAGTGTATTAATTCCACTAAACTTTTGTTGATTTTAT